AATACTTAACCTATGCAATCATTTTATGCCTCACACTTCTGAGCAAATCCTCAATCTTTTCAGTTATCATGAAAACAACAGCCACATGTTGCTTTGCAAAGTTTGCCGGCTTCTCCATATCTGCATTTCATTTTGGCCAATAAAACATAAGAAAAACGGCTCATCAAAAGAAACACTATAAAAAATTTACCCTGAACCTCATTGTATCTGACTGAAGTGATAGAACAATAAATGGTCTCAGTGGTTTTATAATGAGCACATAAACAGATACACAAGAAAAGAGAGAACATGTGTCCCTAACTGACACTTTACAGCATTTTGGTATGATAATAAAATGTTACGAAATATTTCTGTAAGTTGGTAAAGGGTTAGGGTTGTTTTGTTAAAATGGAAGAAAGTCAGGCCAGGAAGAGGGAAGATTTATTTGAGCCTGTGTGGGAATGTGGATTAACTAACCTGCTATGGCCTATGGGTAGTTCCTAACACTGACCACCTTCTCTCTACCCAACCACCCCCTTCTGTTTAATGCCTTGCATTCTTTTGTTCACTAACAAGAGGGTGAAAGGTTTTCTCTTTCCTCTGTGACTATTCTGTAAATCTGCGCACACTTTCAATTTTTTTCAAATTTTTCAACTAAAGGAAGGCGAAGTTGGCTGAAGAGACATGATTGAGATCTGGTCTGAATTTGTGTTGAAAACAGAGGAGAAAATGTCAATGCAGTCCATCGTCCACGAACCTCTTGGTGTTTGAAACAAAACAAACTGTGCCAAGGATTTCTTTTTTAATATTATGAATGATAGTGGAGGTTAGTATGTACAGGTGCTGGTCATAAAATTAGAATATCATGAAAAAGTTGATTTATTTCAGTAATTTCATTCAAAAAGTCAAACTTGTATATTATATTCATTCATTACACACAGACTGATATATTTCAAATGTTTATGTATTTTAATGTTGATGATTATAACTGACAACTAATGAAAACCCCAAATTCAGTATCTCAAAAAATTAGAATATTACTTAAGACCAATAAAAAAAAAGGAATTTTAAAAATGTTGGCCAACTGAAAAGTATGAACATGAAAAGTATGAGCATGTACAGCACTCAGTACTTAGTTGGGGCTCTTTTTGCCTGGATTACTGCAGCAGTGTGTCATGGCATGGAGTCAATCAGTCTGTGGCACTGCTCAGGTGTTATGAGAGCCCAGGATGCTCTGATAGTGGCCTTCAGCTCTTCTGAATTGTTGGGTCTGGTGTATTGCATCGTCGTCTTCACAATACCCCATAGCTTTTCTATGGGGTTAAGGTCAAGGCGAGTTTGCTGGCCAATTCAGAACAGGGCTACCAGGTACTGGTAGCTTTGGCACTCTGTGCAGGTGCCAAGTTCTGTTGAAAAATGAAATCTGCATCTCCATAAAGTTGGTCAGCAGCAGGAACCATGATGTGCTGTAAAACTTCCTGGTAGACGGCTGCATTGACTTTGAACCTCAGAAAACACAATGGACCAACACCAGCAGAAGACATGGCAACCCAAACCATCACTGACTGTGGAAACTTGACACTGGACCTCAAGCAACATGGATTATGTGCCTCTCCTCTCTTCCTCCAGACTCTGGGACCTTGATTTCCAAAAGAAATGCAAACTTTACTTTCATCAGAGAACATAACTTTAGACCACTCAGCAGCAGTCACTGGCAAGATGCTTCTGACACTGTCTCTTGTTCAAGAGCGGTTTGACACAAGGAAGGTGACAGCTGAAATCCATGTCTTGCATACGTCTGTGCGTGGTGGTTCTTGAAGCACTGACTCCAGCAGCAGTCCACTCTTTGTGAATCTCCCCCACATTTTGGAATGGATTTTGTTTCAACATCCTCTCTAGGGTGCAGTTATCCCTATTGCTTTTACACTTTTTTCAACCACATCGTTTCCTTCCCTTCTCCTCTCTTGGACACAGAGCTCTGTGAACAGCCAGCCTCTTTAGCAATGACCTTTTGTGTCTTGCCCTCCTTGTGCAAGGTGTCAATGGTCGTCTTTTGGACAACTGTCAAGTCAACAGTCTTCCCCATGATTGTGTAACCTAAAGAACCAGACTGAGACCATTTAAAGGTCTTTGCAGGTGTTGAATTAATTAGCTGATTAGATTGTGGCACCAGGTGTCTTCAATATAGAACCTTTTCACAATATTCTAACTTTCTGAGATACTGAATTTGGGGTTTTCATTAGTTGTCAGTTACAATCATCAACATTAAAAAAATAAACATTTGAAATATATTACTCTGTGTGTAATAAATTAATATAATATACAAGTTTTACTTTTTGAATGGAATTACTGAAATAAATCAACTTCTTCATGATATTCTAAATTTATGAACAGCAACTGTATGTGTATCAGTGGGGAGTCCTTGGGGCCTTCTATGCCTTCAGAGAAGGCCCATATTCAGCACATATGAAATGTTACAAAAAATGTATTTAATAATTATTTGTATCAAAAAATATGTAGCCCTGTGATGGACTTGCGACTTGTCCAGGGTGCACGCTGTATGTTGCGCAGTGAGTGACTGTTGGACATGGGCACTAGTGACACCAGCGACACCTGCGACCTGGGAAGGAAGAAGCGGTAGAGAAAATGGTGCGCAGGGTCTTGGATATATTTCTTCTAATGTTTCGTTCCTTTTCAGTAAGAACCCAGATGGAGTGCTTATTCATCAGTCAGCTTATTACCAGAAATAAAAAAAAACAAGACAGAGGTAAAGTAGCTGTTGGGTGAAACGCTGTGCATGTCTTAGTCTATCTTTTGTTGTCAAATAAAATGTAAAACTACAACAAAATCACAGTCAAGTCAAAGGAAACATTTTTTTAAGAGCTTTTTTTAATGCACATTTGAAATGTCTTCTTGCAATGATTGGATTGAGCTTCACACACTTTTTTAAATTGTTTTTGTTAATTGTTTTTCTGTAGTGACAAACTGTAAATGAGCTTTGGCATTTTTTTTTTATAGAGCTCTGACATTTATTGGGTGGTCTGGCATGTGTTATTGAGCATATCAATAAAAGCCAAACATTCAGTCAAAGATGTCATTTTCTTAGTCAGTTTAACCACGAAAAGCCTTAAAAGAAAATCACAAAGTAAACATAATGCAATGCACTCAGTATTAAATCAACCTTTATTTATACAGGTAAATCCCATTGAGCCTCGAGGACTCATTTACAAGAGAGACCTGCAGTATGCCTGAAATATGGTTGATTTCTGTTATAGAACTTTATGTTAGACATTATCTGTGTTAAGCAGGTTTTGTACTGGGAATGTTAAAGATCATGTTGTTTTGAGATGTGTGGAAAGGTTATGAACAATCAATATCTTTCCTGTTGTAGTTAGTCTGACTGGATATTAACGAGCTGACGGCTAATCTGAGAGGTGACCGAAATGGATTGCTCCCAAATTAAAACATTTCCAATTTCAAAGGTATTATAACATTTCATGCAAATAGTAATTTAAAGCTTTTACTCCACCACTAATTTCACATAGTATGGGTATTCTATCAGACGTTTTTTTTTTTATATAGGAAGTGCTACAGGTAGCTGCTGCTGCCTCTATTTCTGTGAAACGTGAAACTGAATGTCAGCTAATGGTTTTATAAAATAGTGCATGCGCAAACTGCTGAATAATTAAATGACTTAAACGTTGAATAATCAAAGCTCATAATAAACCACACTGTACTGTGATTAAAAGATTAATCATAAGTGCGTCATCCTGTGGCGGCCATCTTGAATTGGTGCGACTACAAACCTTATTCAGTTAAATGTGTTGTGCATCAATAGTTAGTTTAAGCATATTTCATCAAATTTGGCTGGAGTTTCATGAAATATTATTTTAATTGACAGACAAACACACACACACATAGAGAGTGAGAGAGAGAAATACAAACATCAATGACAAATAATGTTAAAAAATATTGATGTCATGGTTGTTTAAATTCCTTAAATATAACTAAGCAGATCAAAAATGAATATAATTTGAGTGTTTATTTGTGGGCCCTGTGATGGACTTGCGACCCATCCAGTGTGTACCCTGTCCCTCGCACAGTGATTGCTGGATATGCTACCCCCGTGACCCAAAATAGAAGAAGTGGGTAAAAGATAATGGATAGATGTTTATTTGTGTTCTTATTCCTTAATTGGGGAAACTAACACAAAGACTGAAAACAGAAAGTTTTCTTTTCTTGCTTCACAAACTGATGATGGGGCCCTTCCTCTGTTTGTCCAACCTCTCAGAGCCAGTTCGGCTCAGTCCCTTTAGCACTTTGCTGTAAAGTAAAAGCCCCTGTTTGAAACGTGACAGGCTCGTGCAAACAAGACCTTCACCAAAGGAAGGGTGGGAAACAACACAAGTGCATTTTGGGACAGAAAAGAACAAGCACTGCAAACATGTGCTGGTAGCTTTCATGTCTCAGCAGCAGAACAACGTTCCTGCAGTCAGAAATCTCTGGATTGGTTAAAGTGATTCACAAACTTTTACCACCGCATGCAACAACACACACACACACACACACACACACACACACACACACACACACCTCCTGCTGTCAGACCAACTCAGTGTCTTCTTTCATCCTTCTTTCATCCACCTGCAGGCCCCTTTTATGTCAAATCTCCTCCTCTTCCTCCTCCTCCTCCTCCTCCTCCTCTGCAGGGGCTCACCTGGGGAGAAGGAAGGGTGCCCCCCTCCCTCTAGTCGTGCTGTTTTAAAGGCCCGTTTCCGCGAGTTTATGCTGAATCAGAGCAGTGATTGCGGGTTAACCTCTCCGTGCACAGCAGCTCTTTCATCTTCTCACGAGGTGTGCAATTTGGACGCAGGCACGCGAGGTGCTAAAAAGTCAGCAGGCTGCTGGAGGAGGAAAGAGGCGGGCACGCGCTGCTTTCGACCACCGTGCACGCAACACAACTTTTGACAGCCTCTAAGCAGAAGTGTAGAAGTACCCCCCCCCCCCCCCCCGGCTCTCACCAGATGGCGACGCGCTCCTTCGGGTACTCCAGCCGCTCCAGGCAGCCCAGGTGGTGCGGCAGGCTGTGCGCCGCGTTGCGCGCGAGGATCGCGATCAGGACCTTCGGCGGCAGCAGCGAGGACTCGGGCTGGACCCGCTCCTGCACCAGCGTGACCAGTTCCGACACGCCGCCCGGCACCAGAGCCACCAGCACCGCCCACAGCACACCGACTCCCGCGGCCCCGACAGCCCGCATCTTGGCTCCCAGATTCCCGCGTGACCTGCAGCCCGGAGTCCCTAAGACTGAAAGAAGGAGAGGAGGGAGGAAGCCACGCTGCTATAGAGGTGGGTGAGGGAGAGGGGGGAGGACAGGGTGGGTGACCTACCTCTCTTTACCCCTCCTACTCCTACACCCCTGCTGGCTGCTCCTGTGCAGCATGAACAACATGCACGTGTCCTGAATAAACTTGTACTTTTTCTCCCCCCTCCTGCTTGTCTCTTTAATTTTTCCTCCTTTCTTGCAGGAGCTTTCTGATCAGTTATTTTACTCTCCCTGACTCTCCCTGACTCTCCATGACTCTCTCTGACTCTCCCTGACTCTCCATGACTCTCCCTGACTCTCCATGACTCTCCCTGCAGCTGGATGCTGCAGAACTGGAGACCATGAAGTCATCAATCTACTTTCCAGGCTGCTGCTTTTGAAATGACCTTATCGACACAAACAACTTAAATTAATTTTAAGCTACACAGTCTTTAAGTACAAAGTCTTTAAGTTTGATTTAGTCTTTTAGTTTGTGTTGCTACGAAGACGATGTGTTGGGCAGTATATCTATGATTCATTGTGCTTAAAAATAAGTAAAGTGCAAAGCAGAACATAGCTATATCTATCTATCTATCTATCTATCTATCTATCTATCTATCTATCTATCTATCTATCTATCTATCTATCTATAT